AACAAATAATAATTAAGTACCTACAAAAATGAAAGCTATGTTTTGTTAAGTTGATCAGAACTATGCGACCTTGAATTTCGTTAAAAAGTTAGCACCCCATTTTTAAAAAATTATTAAAAAATGATTATTGAGCGCATATGTCATTAAAAATCATAGAGAACTCTTCGTATCGTCAAAAAGAAGCAGGAATTATCATCAGAACTATTGTATCTAAAAATTAATTTTTCAAAAATTTTTAATTTTTTTTTATTATTCGAAAATTTTTGTTACATATCAGGAACTCTAGGCAATCGCAAATTGAAGCTACTAAGCCGCTCAGAACTATTCCACCTCGAAATTCGATAAAATGTTAGCAACCCATTTTTAAAAAATGTAAAAAAAATGTTTATTGAGCGGAACTCTTGTTATTAACTATAGAGAACTCTTCGTCTCGTCAAAAGGAAGTGGGAACTCTAATCAGAACTCCTGAGTACTATAGTTGGGGTGCTAACTTAACATACCCATATATCCGAATGTAATTTAAAATTTCTTATCACAGTATCATTCCTAGAAAAATAAATAATAATATAATGTAAAAACTTGATATTTTTTAAATAAAACGATGACACAGCATTTTAACGTTTGTCATAGTTGGAAAGCTCGGAATCGTTATATTGTGTCCTGCTGGAAAACAGGAAGAATAAAAAGTTCTTCGTAATAATTTAATAATAAAATATTTTAGTAATCTATTAGATGTTTTAGTATTAATATAATATTACACAAATAATGCTTACATATGTAGGAAACATTAAAAATAATGGAAAATAGTAATAATATCAGGATGGCCAATTATAATTAGTGGAGACAAAGTTCTCATGTCGTTATATTTTCACTTCTGTGAACGTCTCGACCTATGTAAAGTTGGGGGGTATCTCATGTTTCGAAAAATGAAATTTCTATTCGAAATGAAAATAGTTCTGCCGAATTAATATAAAAAATCGAAAAATAAAAGTTTGGGATGCCAACTTTGCAAAATGCAGAACAAAAGATCTTTTTTTGTTACGAAACTCGATTTTTAATGCGATAAAAAACTGTGTTCTTTGCTCCGATAAAATGTTATATATTGATTATTATAAAGCCTATTGATAGTACTTTCATATACATAAGCAGTAACTTTCAGCCATGTTGAAACAGCACAAATACTGACCTCTCCCACAATAGCGAGAATTAATTCAAGCACCTAATAATACTTTAGTCAAATTTTTCATCAAGTCATAGATTACGCAAAAGTTCAGCTCGTTTCTTCCACGTATCAAAATTGTTACAATTGCCATGAAATTCATTCAGTAAGTCACTAATAGTTCGAATGTTAAATCTCGAGTCAACAACACGATCACTAACATTACTCTCAACGCTGGGCGACATGCTCAGCTCCCGTCGGACAAGATTCAATTCTCGCTCCAAAAGAGCCTTCTCACGTCTCAACATCTCGAGTTCTCTCATCATTAATTTCGATGGAATCACAAGATGATTCGGAGCCGCAACCCCTCCGTCATCCCCTCACTCGAATGCGTCTGTTGCACCGGCACATGTGCAAGCTCGGCAACGGCAAGCCATCTTTCGTAAGGCGTTCAACCTCATTCCGCCAAACGTCCTCCCCGACGGATTCGACAATATTCGTGGCACCAATTTGGCTTTCGTCCTCGCCGTGAATTTATCAATCTGCCGGGCGATTTCTTTCAAATTCACAACGGGAAATGCCTTCAAGGTGTCCTGGGATTCTTGCTCCATTCTCACACGACAATAATATAGTTTAAATAGCAATCCCAATACAGCTCAAATTGTCCGTTATAACAAAATTGATCGACAATGTAATTATCATAATTACGGCCCCATCTCAAAGTCGGCACAATAATCCGCTCTGTCTACTTTCAACGAGTACTGCTGACATACGCGTCAATCTCCAGATTCGGAGCGAATTCTTCTCGGGCACGTAGCGAATCCTCTCTCGGATATGAACAGACAATCCTACTTCTATATGGTAATAGGAAAAATTAAGAATAAAAGGGGAGTAATAATAATATCGGGATGACCAATTATAATTAATGAAGAAAAAGTTCTCACGTAGCAACAGTCGTTATATTTTCACGTTATAATGAACAGTCTCGCAGAGAGATAGATCACGACAAAAATTCGGAGTCAATAAATATATGCTATCGCGCTGATCGATCCATATCGTCTCAGGCAATTATCGCTTGTCATATCGCGAAATAGAGAAGCGTATGCTAATGATCGCAGCTTGTGATTTACGCATCAAGGAACATGCTGCAGACGACTAAATCACCTACACATAAATATTTAGCCTATTATGATATCGAAACGTTTTTTTCACACTCTCGGTATATGTATACATATTTTAAAATTTGTTAAGGTTTTTCATAATTTTGACCAATATTATTGATAGTAATTCAAATGTAAAAACTAACTGTAGCTTGACAAAATGTGATTAAATAAAAGTATGAAAAATTCCATTATACCGTCGTTTAAATGCCTCTTGAAGAGGTCCCAATGAAAATAATTCCATATGAAATTTGACTTTAATATCTTACAACAGAATTAGCGATATCATCCTCGATTATAAGAACATTATTTCTCGACTTTGCACTATCACACAAAGCGTATTTTATCATTTAAATATATTCCCATATTATTTAAATATATCCTGCTACGGCTGTACGAGAATAAAGTTTTACTATACGAGAGGAACTTGGGTACGGAAAAGCGGAACGGAATCAATTTAATTGGTTAGTTTTTATTCTGTTTTTCTGTTATTACCTATATTCAATTCCGTTGTCTCTTTCTTCATTGGAGCGTACCCTTAAAATTATTCTTAAGACAATCTTAAGGTGATTTTTTCGTAAAATACCGAAAATTTGTGATGCCTCACTAGAAGTCACCCAAAATCACAAATATCTGCATAAAATTTGTATAAAATATTAAAACTACATATATATCTGAATGAAATAATGTGAAAAACACGTGACAGTAAATCAAGAGCTGCATCTTCGTCGAACGAAAACAAAGTGACGTTATGTTTACTTTTCGAGGTTAAATTATATGCAAGTTTATGCATGTAAATATCTTTCCAGAATAGTCGTTGACTTTATTACATTTTTGTGACGATTACAGTTGTAATTTTTTAAACTATATTATATAATTTTATTTTTAAAGTTAGTCAACAGATAGCCAAAGAAATGTATCCAATCCTTATTTGTCACTACGTTAAAAGCTACATTTTTTAACATTCTTTCTCTCTTCATTTAACATTCTTTCTCTCTCATTTCATCGTTAACCTATCCTAGAATTTTTTGATATTTGAATATATTTATCTTGTATTTTAATTTTAATTTACATTAGCACAAAAGTGGATAATCATCATATCTTAAAATTGGCGTGTCACGCTTTTTTGAAGCCTCTTTTCGTTGAGGCTGTAGGAATTCTCTGATTTTGATGTGATTTCGTATTTGAGGATTTTCGGGGTCGATTATTTCGAATCTGTACTAAAAAATTGAAAATTCGAAATAGTGGATCTAATATGGCGGACGTAAAATTAACGTAAATCCTAAAGATTGTTCGATTTTGGTGAAATTAGGTATATTGGTGATTTAGGAGGTGTTTGTTACGAATCCGTTCTCAAAAATTGAAAGTTCGAAATAGTTGATGGAATATGGCGGACGGAAAAGTAACGAAAATCATAAAGATTGTTCAATTTTTGTGAAATTAGGTTTATTGGTGATTTAGGGGGCGTTCGTTACGAATTCGTATTTAAAAATTGAAAGTTCAAAATGGCGTTTTGATTTAGTCTTCTAAAATCTGTTTTCGTTAATCTGGTGGATGGAATATAAGGGGGATTTTGGTTTTAGTGTTTTTGAAGTAGAATTTAAATTAGCAAAAAAAAGCCCTTTAAGAATATGTACTTGATTTTTCACTTGCTGCTATTTTTCTTTGAAAAATGGATGGACGTGCCAACTTTAGTTTAAGTCAGCACAGCCACACTGTGGATCGAATCCTTCGACGTAAACGATGAGCAAAATATTGGATTCTGGATATTCTTAGAGCAAATAATTCTAGAAACATTTTGAAACCAAGATGATCCCGGCAATTGATTGTTTTAATGTACTTTACTCTTGTTCGCGACCCAGCACAGCCACACTGTGGATCGAATCCTTCGACGTAAACGATGAGCAAAATATCGGATTCTGGATATTCTTAGAGCAAATAATTCTAGAAACATTTTGAGACCAAAATGATCCCGTCAATTAATTGCTTTAATGTACTTTACTCTTGTACGCGAACCAGCACAACTACACTGTGGGTTGAATTTTTCGACATAAACGTTCAATAAAAAAATAAGCTAAATATTGTTTATCAAAATGGTAGAATTAATGTGGCGATCGAAAACAATAATGAAATTCTAAAGGTTTTCAAATTTCAGGGAAATTTTGTATTAGTAGGAATTAGAGGAGTTGTTGATTTCAAAACAAGTTTCAAAGAAACATAATTCATAATATTTAAAAAGAGCATAATGGACCATTGCGCGCGTAGCGCGCGCAAGGAATGTGCTAGTTGGATAAAAATAATAAATATGAAAAATTGATATTCTGAATAGTTCGATTGTAAATAAAATATGTTAAATTTAATAGAAATTTTTAATTGTGTACTAATTATTTTACGAATATTAACATGTGGATAAATTCATTGCAAACTAGAATAAGCTAAAGCTAAGAAAGGAATATCCAGCGTTCTTGAAACATTTTGTACGCGAAATCTAGCATTAAGATGCGGTATGCACAACGTACATTGAGGGAATGACAGGGATGCTTTTTGATGGTTGCAGAATCCCTGGTATGCGTAGTACGGGCGTAGGGGTCGTTCCGGGACTAGTGAAAGGATCAAAGGAGGGTCGTCTGACCGCTCTCGAGCGGTTCGAGGGCCGGTGAACACGAAAGGGCGAACAACCACCTTGCCGACGACCAGCAACCCTCCCGTCCGTCACTGTCGACGAACAACAGAACAGGTTCGTACATATTTTTTGTAATAGAATTGTGCATCAATTATTATCGATTGTATCATATTATCTCAAAACTTGATTTGCCGATGTGAATGGGATTAGTATTTTTTATCTTTAAAATATTTTTATAAAATATTTTATATAAAATTAAAAATGCAATCCCAAACAAATTATTTTTGCACTTGTATAGAAATAAATTAATTTTGATGAATGAGCGCATTCAGTGGGCTCAACGTTTGAGTGAGCGATCGCTATTATTAATGTATTCTTTTAAATTATCTAATTAGATTTTTAGAAGAATACATTGACAACAACGAGCACTCACTGAACTTGAATCTGTTCACTCAGCCATTGAATAATATCTAGGTTATTATTATTAATATATTTTGTTTAACTACGTATGTATTTTTGTATATAATTTCTTTAAAAATTTACATTATTTTTATTGTTTGGAAACTGTTATTTCTCTTTTACGTATTCAAAAACCACCAATTGTGACATTTGTAAAAAGGTTATACACTAATGAAATACATATTAACAAAAATATTTGAGAAAATATATCTAAAAATATTATATATTGTGGATATCTCTAGATATTAGTTCTTTGATTTTATGTTTAACAACACATTACATTGAGAATCAAATTGGATCCGGACAATTGTGAAACTTCCCTTGTAAGATGCTTTCTGTGTTCTGTATATGTACATTGATTGGAAAAAAATTCTTCGTTATTTTATTAGCTCAAAATTGTATATTGTACATTTAAAAAAATTAACGATTATACCATTTGATAAAGCAAAGTTTTAACTTTAAGAATCTGATATTTAAATTGCCGTACGATAATTTTTAACGAAGTTATGAGCAATTAAAGTTAAAATGTTCTTTTACTTAACTTGTAAATATAACTCAAGAACAAAAAATCGTAGGAACATTTTTAAAAAACGATTTTATAGAGAAAGCTTCAATCTTTCGTAATAGGTAGTCGAAAATTTTCACAAATTTGTTTTGTGCACGTGAAAAACCTACAAAATAAAAAGAAATTTTTCATTTTTTTTAGCTTGTAGTTTTTTATATGTAAAAATTACCGAATTCACATAAACTCAAAAAATACAGTAACCTTTCAAAAATAGAGACTTCAAGCTTTAAAACCCTTTTTTAAAATTTAAATTTCGTTTTTTTTTTAACGAAAATATTGTATATATAATTTTGAGTTAATAAAAACCGCAGAACGTTTCCTTCAAACTCCTAATAAGATGCATTATGTTTACATGAAACGGGATGATTTGTATGAAACACATGGAAAGAATTGACTCATTATTCTATTATTACATGAAGGGTGTGAATTATGATATCGACCTGCACATGCAGACGACATTTCATATGGTAGATCGATCATCCCTCGTGAGCGGATATTTGCGTTGGAGTAAGAGTATAAAGAGATTAGAGAGAGAGGGGGGGGGAAGAGGGAGGGGTTAGAGAGAGAGAGAGAGAGAGAGA